TAAAATTGATTTAATATACACCATTCAGCTTCAATTTCTCCAGTTTCTCGCCATTTCAAGATCCTGTTCACCCACTGATTTATACAATGCAGCAATTTTCCCAAGTTACCAGAATCAACGAAAACCTTGTCTAATAAGTTACAAAAATTAAGTCTTATGCCTGCAAATTATCATACGATATATCCGGCTATTGGAAGCACTGAAAATGAACATGAAAAACGCTTAGGTCATGTTCAGGAAATACGCAACAGCGCGTCCTGCTGATGAAGTCACTGAACTTGACCTTCAGGTGCAAAACTAAGTCTCTGTGGTACAGCTCATCTTGGCAACAGAGAATCAACTATGTGAAAGCAATAAAAAAATAAAAATGGCATTTAAAACTTGCAGAAAACTGAAAATGTTCTCATCCAGGAGATTGCTCTAATGCTTGCAGTAGAAAGTATACGATCAATGAGTTCCCATTGCCATCCTTCGGTGCAAAAAGTCGTCTCGAAGCCTGAAAGCTGTTCATAATCTGCAGAACAGCACGGAAAAAGTGCTAGGAATAACAAGAAACTACAGTAAAACCAATGAATGGATCAGTGCACAAGCAAGAGTCCTCGATGTAATTGTACGAATAAAGAAGCTAAAATGGTACAGACCAGGACACCTTACAGGAAGAACCGACCACTGATGAACCAGAAATATTATACTGGGTTCCAGGAAAGAGTAAAAGGTCTGCATGAAGAACTTCAGATCGACGGCAAGGAGAGCGGGAGAAGTTCGCTGGATCACGATGGATGAAACTGGCAGATTTCAGAAACTGATGGCAGTCTTGAACAGGTTTTCGTCTAACAGTGGATCGAGAAAAACTGACCATGATGAAAATCAGCCATCGCGCGAGTCCATGCAAAATGTAGCTGGAGGAGGCGCTGAAACGTGGCTCCACCATTCTCCTGTCCCAGTATGCCCATTTCCCAATTTACTGCACTGAAACAAAGTGGAATAAGTCACTTGCCCAAAGTAATTAACAATTAAGAGAAGTTCTTTGGCATTCTAATCGAACACTCCAGCGTTTAAAACCGATCTATTTTGCCACAACCTCCATGAACTCTCAAGAAATCAAGCAATTCTTGTTTGAAACTGACACTGAATTTCAAATTTTATCCTAAGATACAAAATTCTGCAACAATAGAAACCCAAAAGAACTCCAAAACATAACTGGTCAATCACGACCGATTTCAAATCCGAGCTATAACGACGAAACGCGTTTTCTACTAGTACCACAGAATGTCTGCTTAGATTTGCAGGTATATATTGCAGTAAAACAATTGAAATGCGTTAGTGCGGTTAGGAATCTGTTATATATCAATCGACAAATCAAAGATATTACTCCAATGTTCGGGGGAAATCAAAATAAGTTAGGGTTTCGAAGCCACTGTTTTTAATAATTTTCAATAAATAATGCTTAAGATGAATCGAAACAGGATTGAATTGGCGAAAGTGTACAATATGAGCAAGGAAATTTTATTTCTTATATATTAAAAGATTAAATAATCCCCGTAAGCTACAAGATTAAAGGGGGCGACGCTATATTGCGATTCTTCCTAGTGTAATATGTTCATCTGTCTTACACCACTGCAGTATCGGGGGTAAACGAAGAAATAAATTTTGTAACTTTGCACTGAGCATTTTCGCCGTTTCAAATTCCGTTATCGGTATGTTTTAAATATATCGCATGCCGAATCGTTTATGCTAAGTGCCCTGAGTTAAAATTTTAGCTAATTAATTTTTTTTCAGAAATATCTGCCTGCATAGCTGTTTGCTCTCCAACAAACTGACGGAACTGCTGTGAACCGAATA